AAAACATTTTAAAAGTGAGTAGAAAACTAGACCTACCGAAGGAAAGGAGAGACCGAAAAGGAGGCTCACCCCAGGAACACCCAGCCGACGAAGTACTAGAAGGAGCTCGCCTCCCAAAGCGCCGCGGGGGAGGGGCCGAGACCAGTAGGGCCGGGAGCCGATAGCCGGCCGACCATGGTCGCCGCGGGCATATTGCGCCCTCGCGCAGGCGCACCCTTGCACCGGCGCCGGCAGAGCAGGCACCGGCGATCGCCGCGCCGCGGCTCCCTCGCTCCGCCGCGACGCGGCCTGTGCCGCGCTCGCGACCTCGGCGCGCCGCGCCTGCCGCCCCCGCGCCTGCCGCCCCCGCGCCTGCCGCCCCCGCGCCTGCCGCCCCCGCGCCTGCCGCCCCCGCGCCGCCCCCGCGCCGCCGTCGGCGGCGTCCAGCGCAAGCGCCGCCGCCGCGTCGCGCGCCGCGCGGGCAGCCTCGACGGACCAGAAGCCGTGCTCGTCGTACCCGGCGTCCCACACGCCCAGCGAAGGGCTGAGTGCCGTCGCGAGACCTCGGCACGCCTGCGCACGCCTGCACACGCGGCAGAGCGACAGCAGCACCACCCTCGTCGGGCGCCGACGAAGCGTGCTCGCGGGTCGCCGCTCCGTCGACCGACGGCCGAGAGACTTGCTCCGACGCCACCCCGCCCCCACCCCGCCGGTCCGGCACCGACATGTCGGAGGACGACCTAAGGAAGAGGCGGCGCGTCGCCGGGGGACGGCGCGCTCGTGCTCTCGCCGCGAGATCGAGGGAGGGGGGGCTGCGCCGCGGAAGAGCGCCAGGGCGAGGGGTGCGTGTGCGCCGCCCGCGGAAGAGCGCGCGGGTGAGGGAGGAGGGGGTGCGCGCGTGCCGTCATGCAGCGTCGCCGGCCGCCGCCCAAGGAGCTCGGCTCCTCGAGAGCACCGACGGACGACGATCGGCTCCTCAGCAGTGCGACGCCGAGCTGGAGGCTCGGCCGGGAGCTCGCGCGGGCACGTGGAGCTTTCCGCTCAGGCCAGCAGGAAACGGGCGCCCCGCACAGCGACGCCCGCCGTAGAGTGCCGAGAGCTCGGCTCGACGCGAGCGCCGAGGAAAAGCGATCGGCTCCGCAGCAGTGGGACACCGAGCTGGAGGTTCGGGCGGGAGCTCGCGCGAGCACATAGCGAGGTGCGTGCGCGGCGGCGGCGGACAGGTGAGCGGGCAGCTGGCGCACATTTCGACTGTGCGAGCTGCCAGGAGTTTGCTCTCTCCGTTCACACCCCTTTGCAGAATTTATTCACTTGGAGCACTTACTTGGAGTGCAGTCATTAGCCTCACATCCAGGGCCGGGGAGCTAAGAAGCGCACCCAGCGGGCCGGATGATCGGAGGAGGAATTCGTATTCATGAGATACTGTCGGAAATCGTAAAGAGTAAAGGACTAAGTATGACGTCGCTACAATGTGCGCGCTCCACCTTCCATGACAATGTGCGCGGGACAGACACGGACACAGGAGGAAGGGAGGGTGGCTCCTCTCTCAGAGAGAGACACGCACACGGGTGAGGGGTGGAACACGTTCACACCGGGACGCCTTATCTCTTACACTCCTTCCTTGGCCCAGCACCGGTGTTATCACGTCTCAGCTGCTTCATTGCCATGTCCAGTTATGGCGGAGACGCGCTGATAGCATTCCTGTGCACGCAGTTGGACCTGCACGGCCATCGGGTGCGTGGCGCAAAAAGACCTGTTTGCGCTGTCTTCGATCTCAGCGGCTACATGCGCTGCTGCGCGTACCTGTGACGCACACATGTTGATCACATCCATATACCTCACTAACATACAGCTGGCGAGCCTTGCATCCCTCGTCTGGCCATGCTGTGCATCATCTCACCGTATGCAGCCGTATACGCCCACGGTGCTCACAAGGTCGGGCGTCACGGTGCTCGTGGCAAGCATCTCCGTCACTCTTGTGACTTGTGGGCTTGGTGGTGTTGCCTCCGGTGCTACTGCTGGGCTAGGGTGCCAATGGCGCGACGGGAGGCGGCCATTGGCGCCATTACAGCAACGATTGTTAGGCCGTGGAAAAATCCGGAATTCGTGCCCCGAACCGGCGGGGGGGGGGACACATCCCGTCTCAGAGTTTGACCGTTTTACCTTCGTAGTCTTTGTTAGTATCGAGGTCTCGCGAGTTTTGGGGGGTTTCGGCGCTTTGGGGGGGGGGGGCTTTTTTGACTGATTTTACAAAATAGAGTTGTTTGGTATTGCTAAATCTCTCTCTCTCTCTCTCTCTCTCTCTCTCTCTCTCTATCTCTCTCTCTCTCTCTCTCTCTCTCTCTCTCTAGTCGAAAGGAGGGCCGGCGACAGCCTGAGGCGCGCCGCAGCGAGGGCCGGCGACAGCCCGAGGCGTGCCGAACCCGCTCTCGTGTGGAGCACCGCCCTGATCCGTCCCAAGGGTCAGCCCGGGGCCGATTGCCGCTCTCCGAGCAACCCATCACGAGGAACCGCCCGCACATTTGCCCCTCTCGCCGCAGGCTCGCGGCCCTAAATGGGCCATCCGGCGAGAATTCTGGTCGCTCCTGCGCGTGGCTCGAGCGACGGGCGACCGACCGCACCCTCTCCCGCGCCCGACGCGCGCAATCGCGCCCTTTGCCGAGCACGTGCAAGCAATCTACAAGCCGGGGCAAGCCTGGTAAGCTAACGTACTACGACACGTGCACAGGGCACTAATAGCCGCCTGCTGCGACCCGCGCGCGAATCTTTGCGATGTCGAGCCCCAAGCTGTTCTCAGCCTCATCAAGCTGGGCCCACGCCTCGGTTTCGCTGACAAGCCGCGACCAAAGAAGGTCCCGCAGCTCGTCCCGTTGGGACGACGGCTTGCTGCACTTCCGTCCCACGCATCCGCCAAAGATGTTGCGGTGCGCGTCTCGTGCGAGCAGTGCGCGACGCCGCGCCGGCTGCACGAGGGGCAAGCCGTCGCCTTGAAGGAGTCGAAGAAGGTTTTCCAGCCCTCGTCGGACGACATGTCCGAGATGCAAGCCCATTCATGATTACAATGAATAACTCAACTCATCCTTTGGCAGCTTGTATTGACTATTGTTGAGTATGAGTAGTCATGACGTCTGGTATCCATGAATATGAATAGTCACGTCTGCCTGTACTCATGAATATGAATAATGTATTCAAATACAAGTGCGTGAGCAACTTGCAGGTAAAACCCGGGTATACCCGCAAAAGTCCAGGTATACCCGAGAAATACCCGAGTGCGCGTCCACATGCCGCGCACGCCTACTCGCAGGGCCACTGCGCCAACTGCGGCGCTCACCGCCTGCTCAAGTACGCGCACCGCACCATGTGTGCTCGCTACAAGTGCCAAAAGGCAGCATCGGCGCAGCGCCAGGCGCGGCTGGCAGGTGGCGGTGCGGACGACGCGGTCGTGCCGACATTCTGCTACAAGATTGAGGCGGTGCTCGGCATGCGCTTTTGCGACCCCGATCAACTGATCGGAAAGAAGCGGCGCAACAGGCTGGCTGCTGCGAGGGCATTGAGGATTAGGCAGCCAGTAGTGCTAGTGGCGTGGCTCGATAGATAGAGGATTTGTCGTTGTTCATGACCGGGCTATCGTTTCGCGTGCGCTGTGAGAGAATAGTGACCAAAATTAAAACACACAAACCGAGCCACAGACGATACAGGGCACCGCGGCTAGATATTCACGATGCCACGGCGGCGGCATCCGACGACGAAGCCGCCCCGGCCGCCCCGGCCGCCGATGGAGATGCCGCACCGGCCGCCCGCCCGAGGAGCCCTCCTTGTGCTCGCCCCCTTTGCCTCGGAACAGCTCGTAGTACTTCTCCTTGATCGCTGCCACTGCCGGCTCGAAGGCCTTCTTGTTGAAGCCAATCCTGACCAGCACAGCGAGGTGGGCCGGGTTGAGGTTGGGGTCTGCCAGCAGCCCAGCGCGAGAGAAGATCTGCTCGACGTTGGCCTCGCGCGGCAGGTGGCACGCAGTCTGCTTGAAGAGAACGTAGTGCAGCGGGAACTTGTTGCGCAGCGCCCACATCATGGCGAACTCGTTGAGCAGCCCATCCTCCGCCGTGGTTCGCCCTTCCCAGAACGACCCGGGGAACTTGACCTGCGTGCCGAGAAGACTCATCGGCTACCGAAGCAGCTTGTATTTTGGCACATCTAGCCGAGGCTGGGCTCTTCCCTTCCTCTTTGGTGGCATATGCGAAGCGCTGGAGCAGAGACAGCGGTCGGTCGACAGGGAGCGCGTTTTGGGACTCTGGGATGAGTAGTATTCATGGACTTGAGTACATTTACTCACGCATGCGCCAGCCGTACTCATGAGTATGAATACTCAACTGCGGTGGTACTCATGAGTTGAGTACTCACGATGCACGTGTATTATGAGTACAGCGGCCCTTGCCAGGACGGTCCGAGCGCCGCGCTCGCTCCGGTGAGCGAGCACTACAGTAGCACACCGCACCTGCACCGCATGTAGTGGCACCGGCACCAGCCTCCCCAGCCCCGCCTCTCCAACGTCTCACTCGCCACCCTGCTCGCTGCCGCCCCGCCCGTCGCCACTGCCACTAATCTGCCGCTCCGCAGCCCGCTCCACCTCCCCGCCCGCAGCGCCTCCCGTGCCGACGCAGCCTAGAGACAACAGAGCGGGTCAATATCACCGCGGGAACGCCTCCTCTCGACGTGGGACAGAGCCTCCTCCACAACGTCGAGAGAGCGACGGCCAGCGTGGCGCGGCGCAACGTCGCGCGGCAGTGGCCGCAGTGGCTCGAGGTGGGCAGCGCCGGCGACAACGAACGCGGAGCGCGCGGCGACAGCGGTGGCGAGAGCCGAGGGACGTGACTACACCCGAGCGCCGTGCGCGCGCAACCTCGTCCGCCAACCACGCGCCGCACCAGCGCCGCGAGCGACGCCTCGAGGCACAACGTGCAGCCGCCGCATCCACCGCCGCCGCCGCCGCCGCCGCCGCCGCCGCCGCCGCCGCCGCCGCCGCCGCCGCCGCCGCCGCCGCCGCCGCCGCTGCCTCGCTCCACGGCGGCGGCGCCACCGCCGCAGACTGTAAGCACCAACAGCCGGCGGCTCGGCACGCGGCGGTCTGGGGGCGCGTCGGCAGCGCGGCGCACCACCTCGCTGCTCGACACGCGCCGGACCTGTCATGCGCGGCTGCGCCACCGCTTCCTCGTGCGGCGCCGTCGCCGCCGCCACACCGGCCGCCTGCTGTGAGCGCCGCGCTGCTCGGCCGCACCCGCCCGTGCCGGCCGCAGCTGCTCTGCCGTCAGCGCCGTCGCCGTCACGGGCCAAGCCGCCATTGTCGCCGCAGCCACGCCCGTCGTCCTCGCTGCCGCCGGTCCAGCATGGCTGACACCGCCACTACCACGGCACCGGGCAGGGTGAGGCGCTAGAGGGTGCAGGGTGCATAGAGGCGAGGCGAGGCGGCACCTAGGGGCAGTGGCCCCCGTGAGCCGGCAAGCCGACGCGCCACCGCTGGGCGAGATGGAGGCCGAGCTGCGACCCTCACAGCTCTCGCGGCATGCGTCCAGAGCTCGATTCATCTGCCCCGCCGCTCGCTCGCCGCCTTTGAGGGACCTAAAGAGAGAGGTTCTGAGCCGTCGGGCGGCGCTGATGGTGGCCCGCGTGGGTGGAGCCCGCGGCAGCTAGGCCGCCTGGGCGCGGGGGGGGTGGTCCGGTGCTTCAGATGCAGCGTGAGCGACGGGGGGGGCGAAGATATGAGGCGGCTCGCCTGCAGCGCCCACCTGCTGGGCGGGGGCTCTTCCGAAAGGCAGGATTAGCAGCTTCGACACGTACTGTGCGGTCCGAAAGTCTGTGTGCGGCCCGCGTTTTTTTTGAGAGCGCCTTCGTTGTTAATAGTACAAACCCAATGGTCTCTTGCGAGCGGTCCGTCGTTGCAGTCGCACACACTCACACGCCACACCGCACCGCGCGCCCGCCCGCTGCCCCGCCCAGGCGGGAAAGAGATGAGGGGATGGGACAGCAAAGGAGGAACCCCAAACACGTATGGGAGGGTTCAGTAATGCGTCACGCTGCCCGGCGTTTCTCACTTTCCGGGACAGCCCCGCCCTTGTGAGGCAGGAAAGTGACGGCTACCCCGTACGCCCTGGTGCTGCTACCCCGACGCCGACCGCCCATTCCCCCCTCCTCTTTCCCCCCTCGAATGCTCCGGACCCCGACAAGCCGCCCGACGTTGGGCCTCTGCCCCGCACGCTCCCGCCCCTCTGCCCCTCACACACACCCAGGCCCGACATGCACATACAAGACAAACCCGGCGTCCTGCTCTCAAAAGAAAAGAAAAAATGGGAAGGAGGAGACCAGCGGGGGAGACTCCCCGCCTATGCAACACCCCAGAGAGGGGCTGCCATCGCCGAAGCTGTGCCTAAGCATAACTCCCAAACCCGCAGCGGCCCGGGGGGCCTTGGGGGCAGCCTGCCGGACCGCTGTTGCACGGGGCCAGGGCGGCTATTATTTATCCCCCGAGGCAGGCGAGGATACGCACAGTCCCTCGTGTCGCGCGTGTAAGTCCCGGTTGCCGTGCGCGCCAGCGCGTGTGGCCGCGTACCAGCTAAGATACGCGCGCACGGGCGTGGGTGGGTAAAAACGGGTCACTTTGCGGGGTTTGCCCCCAACCATCACTCTAGTTGGTATAGTACCCCACCTCCAGCCGTCCCGTGATTTCTTTTTTAGTTTCCCATAAGTAAGGTAGGTAGGTAGGTAGGTAGGGGCAGGGCAGGGGCCGGTCAGGTTTTTGCAGAATTTCATCATCAGGGCCGGCCAAGCAAAAATAAAATACACCTGGCCACGGCGCCAAAAAGGTGCTTGCCGGAGTCCGGTTTCAGTGGACGGACACACAAAACGACATTTGCATCGGCCGGGCGGACAAATTTAGTGGCTGGGAGCCCCTTTTAGAGCCTTCTAAGCCATTCCTGCTACTTTTTGAGCGCGTTGGGTCTCTGCGATGATGTGAAAATTGTGACCAAAATCCTATGTGATCAAGAGGGGAAAGCTGGGGAAGGTGAAGACTGGTGCCCCGGGGGCGTCGCAGTCCGGCAGCCTCTATCTACAAGTTTCCAAGCGTCGCAGTCCCCGAGCGGAGGGCGCCTGGGTCTAAATTTAGTGCGGTGTGAAGTGTTTATCTACTGCATCTTTAGCGCAACTTTAGCGCAACTTTAGCGCAACTTTAGCGCAACTTTAGCGCAAATTTAGCGCGAATTTAGCGCAAATTTAGCGCGAGTTCACTGCGACTTTACATCCAGATTTAGCGAGGTTTAGTGCGTCTTTAGTCCAGCCGCGCAGTAGGATCCAGCCGCAGACCCTCGCTGGGCCTCCCTCCCCCCTCTCCCCCTGCAGTTCCCTGCCCACGCAAAAGTTCCCCGTCCCGTCCCCAACCGAACGAAGGTAATCAGCTGAATATCAAGCTCGGTGCTTTCCGGGCTGCTTCTCCGGGCCCGCCGAGCGAGCGGCAAAAAGTTTGCCGGGAAGCGGGGCGTGAACATAACGACTTTACTGCGATGGCAGAGACGGCCGAGCAGACGATGGTGGCGCTGCCGTGGCAGCAGGGAGAGGCGACGGGCACGCTCAACCTGCCGGCGTCGACCAAGGTGCTGGACCTCAAGCTGCGCCTCAACGCGAGCGACTGCGATGCGGTGATGTTTGACGCGGTCATCATCGAGGTGAGGAAGGGCAGCTCTGTCCTCAAGCGCAAGCTCGACACGCAGGTGCAGGACGCGGTTGTCGACCCGTCGTGGACGCATCCTCTCCAAGCCGCCCGCCGAGGAGCCTCCGCCCGAGCCTCTCACGGAGGTGCGCGTCTACACCCACCAGCGCGCCGAGGTGCTCGACCGGCAAGGCAGTGAGGACCGGGGAAGCCTCGACCAAAGGCGCCCAACTTTAATCAGTGACCGTCATTCCGGGGCCGTACACCAGGTGCGCCTGCGGCGCGCTCTCGGCGAAATATAGCCATTCTACACGCTCTCGTGACGCATTTTTGCGTCAATTCGTAATGATGTGGTGTCCGTCTCTCCCCCCGTGTGTCTGACCGAGCGTCTCGGAAGCTACGCCGCCTCCGGCGGCGCTATAGAGGGGGGGGGCCATGACCCCGGCAAGGCAGTGAGGACCGGGGAAGCCTCGACCAAAGGCGCCCAACTTTGATCAGTGACCGTCATTCCGGGGCCGTACACCAGGTGCGCCTGCGGCGCGCTCTCGGCGAAATATAGCCATTCTACACGCTCTCGTGACGCATTTTTGCGTCAATTCGTAATGATGTGGTGTCCGTCTCTCCCCCCGTGTGTCTGACCGCCCAACTTTAATCAGTGACCGTCATTCCGGGGCCGTACACCAGGTGCGCCTGCGGCGCGCTCTCGGCGAAATATAGCCATTCTACACGCTCTCGTGACGCATTTTTGCGTCAATTCGTAATGATGTGGTGTCCGTCTCTCCCCCCGTGTGTCTGACCGAGCGTCTCGGAAGCTACGCCGCCTCCGGCGGCGCTATAGAGGGGGGGGCCCATGACCCCGGCAAGGCAGTGAGGACCGGGGAAGCCTCGACCAAAGGCGCCCAACTTTAATCAGTGACCGTCATTCCGGGGCCGTACACCAGGTGCGCCTGCGGCGCGCTCTCGGCGAAATATAGCCATTCTACACGCTCTCGTGACGCATTTTTGCGTCAATTCGTAATGATGTGGTGTCCGTCTCTCCCCCCGTGTGTCTGACCGAGCGTCTCGGAAGCTACGCCGCCTCCGGCGGCGCTATAGAGGGGGGGGCCCATGACCCCGGCAAGGCAGTGAGGACCGGGGAAGCCTCGACCAAAGGCGCCCAACTTTGATCAGTGACCGTCATTCCGGGGCCGTACACCAGGTGCGCCTGCGGCGCGCTCTCGGCGAAATATATTCTACACGCTCTCGTGACGCATTTTTGCGTCAATTCGTAATGATGTGGTGTCCGTCTCTCCCCCCGTGTGTCTGACCGAGCGTCTCGGAAGCTACGCCGCCTCCGGCGGCGCTATAGAGGGGGGGGGGCATGACCCCGGCAAGGCAGTGAGGACCGGGGAAGGGTGGACGCAAGACGGGCGATGACGTGTTTTTAAGGTGGCAGTCCGGGTTTTGCGAGACGGGTGTCGTCCCGCAAGATGGCATCACGCTCGCACCTGCCGACCGCCGCCACGGCGGCGAGACGCCTTCTCCGCCACCGCGGCGCCGGCCACAGGCCAGCGCTAGGCAGCTGCCGGCCACACTGGGCCGGATTTGCCGGTAACCGTCGCCGCACACTCCTACATCCACGCCGCTGTGACGTCTGGCGACGAGGCGCCGGCCGCCAAGCTTCATCGCCAACGTGGTCGCTCGCTGGTCCTCTCGGCTCGGCCACGCGTCGGCCCAGCTCACACGAGCTCCAGACAGCCACCAGTCGCCACGCGCAAAGCGTACGGGTCGCCGGCTCCCTGTTGTGCTCTCACGCTGGCCGGCGTAAAACTGTGCTGGCAGTTGTCGAGCCGTACCCGTCGCGTTTCGAAAGGGAGCCCTCAATCGACGCGTCTACACGCACCGTGCCACCGCTCTCCACAACTGCTACCGTGGACATCAAGCTCCTCGACTCGATCTGCGGCTACGACGGCGCTCTAGCTGCTGGCTCTCGCGGGTGTCTGGCGACCCGCTCAGGCTTGCGAAACGGCCGGCCGCGGCGACGTGTTTCGAGCTCGCTGGCCTTCTCCGCGCGGCTGGGCCCGCCCCTAGTCGGGGCAGACCCGCCCAGTCACTGGGCAGCGCGTGCGCCGTCATCCTGGACGACGGTGTGCCGATGCATCCGGGAGGCTCCGCGGGGCTGCTATAGCAGCCTCGGGAGGGTCGAAAATCGAAGCCGGAGCGGCGGACCACGGAAGCTCCACGGACGGTGAGGCGGGCTGTGGTTGGCCCCCCCTGACCGGGTGAGGGAGTGGCGCCCCGGGAGTGCCGCTCCGGCGACGTCTGTGGCCTCCAAGGTACCGTGACCGCGGTGCTCGCTCTCGCGGCCGTCTCACGACCCGCTCGAGACGAAAACTGGAGCGGACGGTGCGACGAACCGCGAGTGGGATGGTCTTCTCCGCGCGGCTGGGCCCGCCCCTAGTCGGGGCCGACCCGCCCAGTCACTGGGCAGCGCGTGCGCCGGCGTTCTGGACGACGGTGTGCCGATGCATCCGGGAGGCTCCGCGGGGCTGCTATAGCAGCCTCGGGAGGGTCGAAAATCGAAGCCGAAGCGGCGGACCACGGAAGCTCCACGGACGGTGAGGCGGGCTGTGGTTGGCCCCCCCTGACCGGGTGAGGGAGTGGCGCCCCGGGAGTGCCGCTCCGGCGACGTCTGTGGCCTCCACGGTACCGTGACCGCGCCGGCCTCGCTCGGGAGGCTCTTTCGGAGCCGTCGGCCTCCGAAACCGTCGCGTTGCTGCGCCTGGACGGCTTCGCTGCTCGCCAAACCCGTCGGCACCGTTCATATACACATGAATTGTGAACGAACGCGCATTTTTCTGATATCTTACTGAAATGTTCCCGAATGTTAGTTTCGATCTAGTCCTCACGGACACAAAACAGAGGCCTCCTAGCACGGAGAAGCGACTAAGAGTCGCCGACGTGCGAGTAAGATACCAGAAAAATACGCCCGGAATCACAATTGATCCCGTCGACAAGGCGCCCCAATCGCGGAGGTCTGGCGCGGGCGTGGAGGCGAGCATCGACGCCTCGACGGTTGCTCTTCAGAGGCCGAAAACAGGCGCCTGAAAAAGGAGAGAACGCGAGACTGATCACGCGCGCGGAAAAGCCCGAGGGGCGAATCTAAAGTGCCGAGGCGCTTGCTAATCACCCCAGCTAGGGCCACGGAGGCGCTCGCGGCAGGTCTCCGCGCGCGCGCTGGCCGGTGGCAGCTGATCTCGGGCGGCGGGCGGCGGGAATGGGCTCGGGCGGCACCTTTTGCCCTCAAAAGTCGTTCGAGAGTACCGGGTCGCGGCGGGAACGCGCCCATCCGCTCGATGGGTGTCAGGAGTCGATCGCCTGCGCCACGAGCGAGCACGGGAGTCGTCGCGATGGGAGTCGTAGCGGCGTGGCGCTGGGCTTCGAGAGAGCGACGTGGGCGCGGCGGCGCGGGCGGCCGGTGGGGCGCGTGAGGTCCGCACCTTCGCGACGGGCAGGCTCGATACGGCCGCTGGCCGGGGCGGCCGCTCGACCGGCCGCCGCGGTCGTTCCGGCGGCGGCGTCGGCGTCGGCGTCGCGAGCGAACTGCGAGCCGTCTTTTTACCAGGTTGCAACCCTTGTTCCGCACTCGGCTGTGAAAGCTGCTGGTTGCCGCCGGTTGAGCAGCACCCCATCCCCGCCCACGTTGTCGGTTGCTGCCCCATGTCCCGCACTCGGGGTGTGTGCTTCTAGCCCCGTTCTCGGGAGGGGGCTGGGGGGGGGGGGGGGGGCAAATTTCTAAGAATTTTTTACATACACTAACTGACACCGCAAACCCTGTCTAGCCTCCAACAACGCCTCCCCGGCGCAGAGGGGCCCCCGGAGAGATGCGCAACGCAACCACGTTTTGCGTTATTTCTTGTTGAGGCGCGTCGAACACTTAGGCGGCTCCAGTGGTGTACCTGTGTTAGTGCCAGTGCGCGCCAGTCCCGTGCCCAGTGTTTGCCTTCTAAAATTCTTTTTGTCAACGCTACCGTTAGGCGCCAAATCGTCGTCGTCTACGATGCGCCTCCTCCTCCCCCTCCTCTTCCTCTCCTCCTCTGCGCACGCCCTGCAGCTCTCCGCGATATCGTCGCCGAGAGTCGCCGCGCCGCGGGCGTGCACGCCTTGGCTCAGCAGCAGGGCGAGGCTCAGCCGGGCGCGCGCAGCGCCGGTGGCCCAGGCGACGGCGGAACCGGCTCCGACGAGGATGGGCTCGGTCGTCGCGGGCACGTACACGGGCGTGATGCAATTCACCTTTGCCGCCGCGTGCGCTTCGATCATCTTTGCTCCGGTTGGGCTGCCGCTGGCGATCGGCATCCAGCACGGACTGGTCGGCTTTGTCGTCACGCAGGCGGTCGTCGCCAGGACGACCAGCGTGCGCGGCGGAGTCGCGCTCGCGGTGCCCTCCTTCGAGGTCCTCCCCTTCCTCGCGCGCTTCGCCGTCATCGCGGCGGGCGCCGTCGGCGCCGGCGCCGGGCCGGGTGTGCTGCTCGCGACGGTGCTCGCGGGCAGCATCGTCGCCAACCTGCTCGCCGCCGCGCTCCTCGCCCTGGCCTCGGAGGCGCCGGTCGACAACATCGACCGCCTGCTGCCGCCGCCGCTGCAGGCGGGCCTCTTCGCCGCCATCGGCTGGTCCCTCTACCTGCTCTCCTTTGACGTGCTCGGGCTGGGCGCGGGCGCGCTGCTGACGTTGCAGAGCGCGCGGCTGTGGGTGCCCGCCAACCTCTTCGGCCTCGGCCTCTGGAGGGCCTCGCGCAAGGGCGTAGGTGAGGGCCGAGCGAGCGGCGGCGAGGCCCGTACCGCCGCACCCATCAACCGCACCTCTTTAGGCGGCCCGCTCCTCATCCCAATCTTCATCCTCGCCGTCAGCGCGCTCGTGCGCGGCCCTAGAGCGAGGATCCCTGTGTTGCATTCGACTGTGTCGCTCCGCGTTCGCACTCGAGCCACCGCATGTGGAGCCCGTATCTCGACGCGAGGCGCGCGCCGCGGATGCATTCGCTTGTGATTTCACGCTCCAGGTGCACGGCTTGCGGCTGGCCACAGGCTGTCCGGTGCCGGACGCGCGCGCGGCGGGCTGGCTGATGGCCGAGGTTGTCGGCGAGCCCGCCTCCGCCCTGTGGCGCTCCCTCTCGCCCTCGCTCGTCCGGTGCGAGGTGCTGATCCCGGCGGCCGGCCCCGTGGCACGTCCGTGACACCTCTCCCCGACGCGCCCGGCAGATGGGACGTCCTCTTCTCCGCGGCGGCCCTCAAGCAGCTCGTGTGCGCTGCCCTCTTCGGGCGCCTCGGGCATGCCGCGCCGCTGGAGTGAAGCGGCCGCCACACGCGCCGCGCGGCTGCCGCGTAGGCCGCTCGTGAACACTGTGCTCAACTATGTGCTGTACGGGCCGCTCATCCGGCAGAAGCTCGACCTCAAGACGGCTCCAGCCCCAGCCCCCCCAGTCGACTCGACCCGGCCCTCCGCATGGGTGTCACGCAAGTCCAACACCTGCCCCACAGGAGCTCCGCTCCCACGCCCTCGGCACCGCCGCCGCCGCCGCCGCGGGTGGCTACTCGAGCTACCTCGGCCTGTCCGACTCCGCCATCCACCGCAAGATCGGTGGCCTCGACCGCTTCTCTTGCTACTTTGCGGCGGCGGTGAGCGCGCTCTTCCTCTGCGCCTACCCGCTCTGCGGCCTCGTCGGCTACCTGCCGACCCTCGCCATCGCCGGCATCTGCGTGTACGTCGGGTGCGATTTCCTGTACGACAACCTCGTCGAGGCGACCCGCGCCAACGGCGCGAGGGCGGGTCTGGCCGCGGCGACCGTGCTCGCCGTCTGCGTCTGGAAGGACATGCTGCACGGGTCGCTGCTGGGCATCGCGGGCGCCCAGGCGTGCGGGTGGTGGCAGCGCCGGCAGCAGCGCCGGGCGGGCAAGGAGTGAGACGCGCGGCGCGCACTCCGGGACTGCGCTCCCGTCTGGCTAGCTCGGCCTCACGAGTAGCCCACGTGCACGCGCCCCACAGCCCACAGCCCACACCCACAGCGCACAGGCACAGCCCAGTCCGCGACAGTACCGATCTACTACGTGTGTTGTATGCGCGGCTCGTGAGTCGTGTGACTCTCGCGTTCTCCGTGTTACCGGTATGTGCGCGATGGCGGCTGGGCCTGGGGCTGCGGCCCGGGCGCGGCTCCGGGCTCCGCCTCCGGCTGGCGCGTGGCTCGTGGCAAGGCTAGGGCGAGGCTCAACCAGTTAACAAGATAACAAGTGCTAACTGGCAGTTTTGAAACTACTATCACTATCGTGTATCGAGTTGCGAGTTTCAAAACTGTTTTTGCCAGTTAAGGTGCCTCGGGGTCGGGCCAGTTGGCTGTTGGGGGGGGGTCGGCCCTATGGCCCTGAGGGCCGGGTAGGAGGGGTCTAGCTCTAGGTTACCTCTACCTCTGAGGGCCTGCGGCCCTCTTACCTTTACCTCTGGGCAGCCGTGGGCCCTTTACCTCTACCTCTGAGCGACGTAGGGCCGTGATATACCTGTGCGTGATCTCTCGTGTCTCGAGTGATCTCTCGAGTGATAATACTGGGTTGGGTTTTTAGACATTGTGGGGTTGGCACTCCCATCGACCCTCATGACCTCCTGCGGTCTCTGAGATGGACACCAGTGGGTGTGGGACCACAGTCAGGATACACTCGAAGGCTGGGTAAGCAGTAGAGGTCGATAATCGACGCGTACCACATGATCTGTGTCGCTGTCGGCACGCTGTCGACAGGACGTCGAGCGACACCGGTGGCACAGTGCCACCCAGGAGTGGTCGGGCGGTCTCCCGTCATGAAAGAGCCACAATGTGATCCGTATGATGATTCCTGACAACCGCCTCAATCAACTTTTGTCACAGTTCCCGCTCTGAGAGGAGCTGCGGGTCAGCTCGACAGCTGGAGCTGTGTCGCCGGCATGCGGCGGCCTGCCTCCGGAGGTGCCTCTGAGGCGGACATTTTTTGGTCACCGTGAGAGAACGCGTTCGAATTTTCACTCCGGAACTTCAACTCCGCACGCGCACCGGCCAGGGCTACAATAGTGCCAGTGAGGCGGAGGCGCGAGTCGGAAGGCCGCGACCGTGATTTGGTCCCCTCTGCCAGGGGCCCCTCCACTCGCCTGCACCTGCTCGAACCCTGAGCACTGTGCGGCGTTGCACGCTCGAGGTCGTGCATGATGTAGTAATCATTGTCTTGAGTAATGCGCTTCTCTCGACAGAGAGCGCTAGCCTCTACCCCTTCGGTCCGTCGAATCTCGGCGCGGCAGATGCGACGCCGAGACTGACGAAACCTCCCTGTGGTGTGCTGCTGAGCCTCCCCCACACACGAGAACACCACTGGGACACCCATGACACACTAGAACAGGTATGCCACGAGGCGGGATGAGACTAGACGTCTCGGACGAGACTCGTCACTCGACGGAAACCTAAATCGTGAATATCGGGTTGCTGCGCGGCGGGTCAACCCCATTATGCGCAGTCATCCAGATGTCAACTGCACCTCAGACAGTCGCCGGCGTGGGCGGGAGGGGCGACTGTATCTGAAGGCGCGGTAGCGGTAGACGGGCAAGCCACAGCTGGCAAGATGCCGATCGCCATTGACCTTGCTCGAGCCGCGGCGGCGCGGTGAAAGTGGAGCGTGTCAGGATCGGGGCTGCTCGGCTGTGAACTGACCTCGCTGTGAATGTGACCGCCGTCACAGACACTATTGTCCATGAATGGTAAGACTGAGAGTAGAGTAGAATGGGTCGAGCGACCGGCCCAGTCGACCGTCCCCTCCCCTCAGCAGAGCGGGCGAGAATCCTAAAGGATTCACGCCTCCTCTGCCAGGGGCCCCTCCACTCGCCTGCACCTGCTCGAACCCTGAGCACTGTGCGGCGTTGCACGCTCGAGGTCGTGCATGATGTAGTAATCATTGTCTTGAGTAATGCGCTTCTCTCGACAGAGAGCGCTAGCCTCTACCCCTTCGGTCCTGCCGCCACGTCTCGTTTATCCTCAAGAAGCCGGTTCGCATCTTCCTGCTGAGCAACGAGCCGCCCGAGAAGCTGCTGCCCAAGGGCTGCGCGGACGACATCGCCATCACGCGCCGCTTTACCCGGCTCCCCCTCTACTCGCCGACGTGGATTCAGGCGCCGCAGCCGCCGCAGCCCTTCCAGCCCCCGCGCCAGCTCCTCGGCCCCGGCAACACCGCTCAGCGGCAGCCGGCACAGCCCACGCCGCTGGCGCCCCTCCAGACGCCCATGCCGCCCCCGCGCTACGGAACTCCGGGCGTGTGAGCGCGCTGGCGCCCTCCGGCCGCCCTCTCCCCCTCCCAGCGCGCGTCACGCGCGCCTCGCCGCCGCACGAGCCTCGCCGCGTGCGGCGGCAACTTGTTCGTCACATTTTTATTCTGCCGTCGAATTTGCTCGTATTATTCCGTGCCTGGGTGTTTAAGTGCGCTCAGTGCCGTGTCTTGCCCGCATACTATTTATTTCCGGTTGCAATCCACTAATTTAACTCGTACGTGCTTGCTGAGCGCCGAGCACCCCGCAGCAACTGCGCAGACCAGGGATTCGGCCAGTCAAGTCTGGGGCTCCGAGACAAGCGCGTATGGTAAAAAACGGCCGGAGCCCGACCCACCGGGTGCCGCGTGGTTGGCACGAGCGCAATCATGTAGAGGTATAGGGCAGTCTGTCCGGACTCTGTGCACGAAAAACATGAAAACATGCTATTTTATTTTTTGCCAACTTCGACGATTAACCCTGGTAGGTGGATTGTCCAAAATACGTCAGCCTCGCACGCCTACCTAGAGCTAGGTCTGACACCCGACCGCCCCCCCCTCCCTAATATTAACCGGCGAGAGCACAATTTGGCCGGCTAATGTTAGGGAGGGGAGGGCGATTTTCGCGTAATTTTGTCCACCTACCAGGGTTAAAACGGAAGGGCACGCGTCACGCGTCCTGTTCACGCGATGGCCAGCCGTGGTGTGAGCCCGAAGGGTCGGCGAGAGTCGGCAGGCCAGCAGAGCCTCGGTCATATTGGCTCTGACGCCGTGCCAGTTGTCGGCGCGCCGCGATCTGCATACCTGTTCGTACCTCTATAGTAGTGCGGCCACGTGTATTGCTGTTCGGCGAACCGCGTTCCGCTCTCTCGACCGTGAGGCCAGTTGGCGGGCGCCCAAAGCGCCTGGTTTGTGCGTCGAGCGGTGAGCTCACAACAGACACCGTCCGAGCCCGATGCACGCCAGGCGTCTCATTCCAAGCCCACTACGCATTCCCACGCGCTCAGGCGCCGCTCGAACCCCACCTCTTTGAGCCGGTTACCCCGCGGCAAGGCAACTCGGCGCTCTCGATGTGCGCACTAGGCAGTCTCAACGCCGATTACAGCCGAGCGCGCACGACTCGTAGGCGTACCGGCGTGCCGCTGGCATACTACGCGACGGTGGAGGCGCGTGGGCTTGCTCAAAAGGCATGCATCTGTCGGAGAGCGTGCCGCAAGACCTGATGTGCCTCCGCTCCAGGTGTGTGGCAGTTCGATGGATCCAGCCCAGCGACCTCTACGTGACGATTGAGGACTGCTCTTCCCCTTTGGCCGAGCCTCCAGTCCCTGCCACCGTGCACTGGCGCCAGCGAGCTGCATTTACATCCCGCACGCGCGATCGGCAGTCGAGTTACAACCCGCAGCTGTGCTGTGTGCGCGCGCACTCGAAAGTGGTTCGGCGATATCTCGGCGACCACTCGTCGACTCGCGCTCAGACGCGAGGTGCGTGCTCGCCCGGTCCCCCGTGAGGGGACTAGGCCATTTTTAGCGAGATCGGGGAAATCACTCTCATCGCCCGCCGCTCACGCTTCCCTCCCTCTCCCGCGCCGCCGTATCCGGTCCTAGCCTGCGATACATTGAGACCTCACGCCCCGCGACTGTCTTCCACGCTCGCAGGCGGGCGTATCTATCCGCCGTCCCACTCCATGCATGATCACCGCTGGGGGCAGCGGTGCTCGTGCGACTGCGGATTCGGCCTCACCTCACGCCCTCTGGCCTGCAGCTGCACGTTGCCGGGGGCCATTCTCGAGCCCTCTGGCGAATGGGCCCAAATCCGGGCTCTGAGCACGCCTACTGCTGACGATCTATGTAGCTAGTGCGGTGGGGTCTGGCGCAGGTGCGCGAGACCGTCGCCACAAGGGGGGACGCGCGATTATGGTGGGCGCTCCCGAGGGGGCGAAACCGCGTGTTCAAGGGAAACCAGGCGAATTGCGCCCCCAAAATGGTCCTGAGCGGCTCCCACGACCTCCCCAACACCCGAGGTGCACGACACGACCTCTTGTTCTTAGCGACACAGGTATTTATTCCTGTGGGTTGTGTCATCGTGCTCTGCAATTAAGCAACAAAGGTCGGCCGCCAGAAAACACGCTGCGGGCGCTAGAAAGCATTGCAGAAAGCAGAAAAATTTCGCTTTGCGGGCTCCAACATGACGCCGCCCAAGCCGCCCAAGCCGCCCACGAACGTGACCTGCTCGCCCGCCCATGCCGCGCTCGCCTCCGCCTTCCTCGACTGGCACGCGGACCCGGCTCGGACGTGCGGCGGTGGCGGGGCTGGCGCCGCGAGCCTGCTTCAGCGTGTCGCGGGGCTCTGGAAGGCTGGCGGCCTGGCGGCCGCGGCCAGCGATCCGGAGGAGAACTGCGAGGAGTGGGCGCTGGCGCACGCGCTTCGCTCTGCGAGCGGGGCGCTTTCGGCTTTGCGAGCGCGACCGGAGGTCGAGGCGCTTCGGACGCGGGTCGCGCTCGGCCCGGGAGCAGCCGCGCGCGGGGACGACCTCGTCGTCGCCGATGAGGAGGTTGCGCAGCGCCTTCTGCACGGAGGAGAGCATTGACGTTGCCGGCATCGGTAGTCGTTTGGTTCGGCCTGGCTGCCCTGCGCGCCGGGGCGCCCGCAGCGTGC